CAATGGCAGTTTTGGGGCTTGGGGACTGCTGGGAGGAGAGGGAGGACACAAGCCACCAGGGCCCTCTCGTGCCATCCTGGCTTAATTCTGCACTTTCACAAATCTCCATTTCAGACTTGGTTTTTTCGGGGCCGCAGGGAGAAGACTCTTCCCTGCTTTCTTCTCTGTTTATTATTTTTTCTTGTTTCACATGAGCTCTTGGTGAAAAAAAACTCCCTTCCCTGTTTCTCGTTGAAGGCAAGAGAAAACAACAAAGAAGAAGTGTCATTTTGTGGTGACACTTCTCTAGAGCACAGAAGCTCTTCCTCCCCCTTGTCAAAGCAATCGAGACTGGTAAGCAACCCTCAGTGCTTCTGTCACCACCTTGAGATGCAGGTTGTCTGCACCCTTCAGATGCAAGATGAGTTCTTTGAGTCTTCTTTTACTCTCAAAAAGCAGGGGGGAAAACTCAGACACACTCGGTCTGTGTAGCAAAGGCTGCTATCTCCCTTGCCTTTAATGCACACAGGAAGCTTTGAATGCCAGCAGCTCTTTCACATGCAGAGCAATTGGCTTTGCCTTCACCAAAGAGGTCTTCAAGCACAAAGTACCTGCTGCTTGGTGCGATGGACTCTGCTTCCAGCTCTTCAAATGCTCTCCATGTTCAGCAAAGCAAGGTTTGCTGGTAGACCTGAAGCTGAGCAGGGCAGTAGCCTTTAATTTTGTTCTGGCAGAAATACGTCTTCCATGAGTTCTCCCCAGACAGCAGCCAAAGCAAATCCTGGAGCAGAAAAATAAACAGGACAAATTTTTAGATACTGTTTTTTTTTTTTTCTGTGGGGAAGTTGTGTTGACTCATTTGTCTGTCAAACTGATGTTATCAAACCAGCATGAACCCTGCTGTGAATACTCTTATTTCAGCTCGGCTTAATTCTGTTACCAAGCAACTTCCACTAAAGCAAAATACGGCACTTCCACAGAAACGAGAGCACGCGCATGGGAGTGGAGCTGGCTTAACTGTAGTAAAACTAGTTTCAGTTTTCCTACAATTTTCTTCCTGGTGGACTGTGCTGGTGTCTTTCCTATAGTTATGTTTCCATGGAGATTTCGTTTTATTTTCTTTTTGCATCTGTAAATCTCTGGCTAGGAGGAGCGTAAGAGGCCCGTGCGTCTGTCCAGGGTTTGTGGACGTGGATGGCCTGGTCCGAGCAGGGGCTCAGACCCTCCAGGGCACGTCAGGGGGTGGCTCCGTGCCCAGGCTGCCCCAGTGTGCGCGGAGGAGCCGGAGCCCAACGCACCGGAGGACAAAGCAGGGCTCCGAACTCAGGACTTGCTTCTGCAGGGCCAGGAGGAAGGTTATTGCCCAAAGGAAATCCTCAGGTCACCTTCTACCACACTCATGATGAGTGCCAATGGGAAAAACACTGTGTGTTGGATTCGCATTGAACTGTTTTGCTTTGGTTTTTGTACCTCTGAACCCGCAGAGATGGATGTGACCGTTCCTGGTGCGAACGACCCGTGACTTGGGCTGGGACTATCCTGACCTCCCGATATGGGTGCCCAGCACAACTGCAGATGGTCATTGCCAAGGCAAAGGGGACCAGGCTGGACAGTTTGGGAAGCGATTCTTGTTTTAATGTGGGCTCCTTGCACAGTCGTGGGCTGAGCTGCGGAGCCTGCACCCGCGTCTTTATTTCATTAGGGTTTCCTGCTAAAGCCGTGAGGACTCAGAACAGAGTTGGGGGTTTCGCTGCGTGCTCTGCAGCCAGCTTGAAGCACTGAATTAATCCCCAATTTAATTAATGCCACTGGAAGCCCGCAGATAAAAAGAGCAACTCGGGATTTGTTCAGAAACACTGGCGTGTGCACGGTAATGTGTATTAATGTATATAAAAAATGCAATCATTGGGAGCTTTCCCTCTGTCCTCAGCCTGGGCCGCAGTGAGCAATGAATTTAAAAGCACTGAAAGAAGGTCTGTGGTTAGGCTTACCAAAATCATGATGAAATTAGTTTAAAAACCACGCAACACCAACCAAAAACCCAGGTAGGTTTTATTTTGGAAGGTTTTCTGGCTCCTGAGCCTGTGGTTCCCAGGTTGAAGTATTTTCAGGGAGGTTTTTTACCCTTTAATTAAATTTAATTTACCCTTTAAAAAAAAACACACAACCTTAAAGAAACATCCCTGAAAGCTTAGCCTGGCACTTAGAAAGCAAATATTTAAGATATGCTAATGCTTTTCAGTTGCCAATGCAGAGCTTGAAAGCATTTAGGATACAGTTAAGGAGGAGCAGCCCAGGCATGTTGTGACAAAGGGTTTTGTAGTTGGGAGTTTCATTTTTTCCATCCTATTGCAAATTAGTTATAGCAAAATAATTTTTAGAAGCGACAGTTTTTCAAAGACAGTTTCATACTTGGGGTTTTCAATTCTCATGCATTACTTGCTGCAGGAGCAATGAAAGCTTTCTGGCTTTTGGCTGCATTTCTGAAGAAGCTGCCTATTTTGTTTTTCTTGGTATTATTGATTATGAAAATTAATAACTTTATTTTCTAAAAGCAGAGGATGGGAATTTTTTTATGCAATGTGGAAAATCCATTCACCCGCCCATCCTTGATCACTCGCAGTTACATGCCAGAGCTTTCTATTTCAGATGACAAGACCTGTCCTTTCTAAGGCCCTTGCAGCTATTTGCAAATCGTGTTGCTGAATGTGCAGTGATGTACACACAAAAATCCACAAATATGCAAAGCACTTTGTGGGAAATATATGGATTTAGCTCAGACATGAATAGACCTGAGGAAGTGCAGTGTGAGGCCAGTGCAGCAATAGGCAGAATAATTTGGGCCTAAAAATGCTTCAACAAAACAGTTCCTGTTTTCCAACAAGTTAGACAAAATGTAAGCTTTCTGCTGAAACTTGTAATTACGGAAGGAAGCATATGGTAGCTCCTTGGAAGTGTTGGAAAGGGGTCAACACCAGGCAGAGCTATGGAGCTGTTTAGCGTTGGTGCAAGTGGGTGTTACGTGGAAATAACAGGATAGGATTTGACGTTGGAGAGCTGGTAGGAGGTCCCTCCTACTCCGGTGCCAGCGAGGTTGGACGAGGACAAAGAGCTCGTGGAGGCTCTTCGTTTCCAAAGGTGGCATGAGGAAGCTCTCTGTGCATCCAGCATGCAAATATTTTGGGGGCCAGCGTGGGAGAACTGTTGGCAGGAAGGTGACCCTCAACTGAGACACAATGAGGAGCTCAGATGAGGTAGGGCAATGCTGATCCTGAATAGACAGCAGGAGATGGCGTATTCACGTTTTCTGCCATCTCTTGGAAGGAGAGGAGCCAAACTACTGCTAGACAAGGCAAAGACACGCCAAGCTTTTGCTGTGGTGGGCTCTGGAGAGTCCTCCATTCGGTCGTGTTCCTCGTGGTGGCAGGAGGGTGGTGAGGAGTGATGCAGACTGACAGCCCTGAATCCTGAGCAGAAGCAGAGCCTGCCTGTTTTCTCCGAGGATGGTCTCGATCAATGTCAAAGCTCTGGGAGGCTTTGCTGAACGGCCCTGTCCATGCGGGAGCTCGTGGTCTTCTGCTCCTGCTCACACAAAGCTTGCATGGGAGGACCAGGTTGAAGGCCACACGAACCCCTGTCTGTGCCTGTGCTGCAGCAGGCGGGATGCAGAGCAGATCCCTGCACGGGCTCCAGCAGCTCCATGGCCCCACAAGCGGTATCAGGGCAGCTGGTCAGCGGTCGTGGCCTTGTCTAGATGCCAGGAGTCCTCTGGTCCGGGAGACGAGCGAATGCGCGACTGCCTTACGTGGCGCGTGCGTGACATGGACGGATGAGTGCTGGCCCCAGAGACGTCCCTCAGCCTGGGTCTGTGTTCCAGTGAGCTTCGCAGATCGATAACGTCTCCAGCTAGCTACAAATCCAGCTGCAGACAGCTGGAGCACGGAGATTGGTCCACCACACCAGGCTTCAGCAGAATTATTCAAAGCCCAGGGAGGTAACTGTTTTAATAAATCCGATTGAGCTCCAAGTTGTTTTCTCTGCCAGAGATAGAAAAGCCTTCAAAAGGTTAAATATTAATAGCCTGCTCCAGCTGCTCTTTATGCAAAGGCTCAGAGATAAAATGCCCAAGACTCGGGGATGCAGCCACTCAGTGCGATGCTGCAGGCGCAGCGCTGAGGTTTCAAATAGCCAACCCTCCTTAATCCCACACGCTCCGTGTTTGCTGGTACGTGAGACAGCAGCAGCAGTGCTGGAGAGGGAAAGGTCACGTACCCCTATTGCATGAAGATGCCTGTGTGCTGGGTGAGCCCAAAGTGCTCTCCTCGCACGCTTGGGGCTGATTTGCATGCTATTAATCCTGCCTCTGGAAAGTCTCCTGTAGGTTGGTTTTAGCCTCGTGGAGGAGGATGTCTGACCTTGAGCTGCTTTATATTCAGAGCAAACCCACGATGTGGAAAGGGGCAGCTATCTCACATCAGCCAAAGAGAGGAAACTTGTAATAAACTGACTGTGTGTCTGAGACCATGAACTCCAAAGAGCCTTTGGCCAACTCGGGACAACTCGGTCTGCTAAACATGTGGGCACCTATGAAGCATCACAGACATTTCTTTAATGGATTTCGGACTTTTTCTTGCACGTGCCTCGGGCATAGTTAATGGCAGAAGTGCAACCGCAGAGAGCAGGCTCCAGGTGCATCCATCCTTTGGGAATCCTTACGGATTCTAGGAACTTCTCTCTCTGGGGGAAGGAATTTGTTTTTTTAGTAAAATACATTTAAGATTTTGAAGCTAAAATAATCTATCAGCCAGAAAATAGATACCACTTCCTGCTTTCTCCATCTTGGAACACAGACCAAGTTGGAAGTGCAGATCTTGGAGTTCCTCGACAGGATGCGGGGAGAGAAGCCAAAACGTGACCTTGTGGTCGAACGCGATCCCGCCTGCAGCGCTGTGACGTGGGCGGCCCCGTCCCGTCGCGGTCCCCTCGCCCCTGCTTCACTAACCTGCTGCCTCTCCTTGCAGAGGAGACGACGTTCGAGGCTGGCGTCAAGGTGCAGATCCACAGCCAGTCGGAGCCGCCGTTCGTCCAGGAGCTTGGCTTCGGCGTGGCCCCTGGTTTCCAGACCTTCGTCGCCACCCAGGAGCAGAGGGTAAGTGCCCAATTTCATTTTCCTACCCAGAGCCCTCTAACGGGTCTATGTGTTAGGCCGCTTCTCTGGGAGGAAGCCCCTTGAGAAGACTTTGATGATTACAGCTTTACAGCTTTCTTTTGTTTCTCAGACACCCTTTGCTTCAAATAACTTCTCCATTTGACTAGCTCAGTTTGGACAAGGACACGTTTTACTGCGTTGCTTCCCTTGTGTTTCTCGGTATTGTCATAGCTTTGATCGGAGAAGGGTGTTCAGTCCTGGTAATGACCTTGGCATGCTTTTTTATTGCTTCATGAAGCAATAAAAGCTATGGCAGGAGCAAAATGTGTTGGGTACCTTCCAACGCCCCACGAAAGGAGGCCTGCAGTCAAAAGGGTCCCGTACTCGAGATAAAAATGAGTTCAGAGGAGAGCATTTCATTAGGTAAATCAGCTTGAATCCTTTCTGGTAACACAGAAATACTCGTATGATTTATTCCCACCAGGAGTAGGAAGCTCATTTCTCCTCATACAATCCTCTCCTGTCATCCCAACGGCGACACGTCAGCAGAGATGGATGTGATGAGACATAGCGTTGTTAGACCCAAATACTTGTTAGGAGTTTTGAAAAACAGCCAGCAGAATAAATCCCTTTCTCAGCTTGGTCCCAGCGCTGGCATTCGTAGCCTTCCTGCCTCGTTGCGTCTCATTTTCCTCCATGCTTCTGCTTTCACCCTCAAGTGAGACACAAATCAAATTCCAGAAACAACAGGAGCTGTTTGAGGGTTTGCTCTGATTAAATCTCGATGGGGAATCAGAGCCGCAGTAGTTGTATTTTGGCTTAGAACAGCAATTCGCTACCAAATGCATCTTGAAGCCAAGGTGTCTCTCCATGGCCCCTGGTAGCAAAATGCACCTGAAGAAGGAGTGTTTCGGTGAGCCTGATGCAGAGCCTCTCTCCTCAATGAGGATGCACACAGGCATCTCCGTGCAGGAGACAACCAACGCCGTGGGCTCCGCGTAGGCGAGCGCCAGGTGGAAGCATCTCAGTTTAAGACAGGAAAGGTTTTTCTGTTGTCACACTGTATCACGTGGGAAGTCCGTTGGGTTACAGAAAATGAGCAGCTTTCTTGGAGCACAGAGCACTCATTTTGAGCGTAACACCTTAGTAACAGGGAAGGTAGAAGACTCGTTGGGGGCCGAGGCAACAGCTGCTGAAGTGCAAAGCAGCTGCCCTCTCCTTGACATGTCTCCATGTCATCTCCCTGCCAACCCCAGCTTGTAGGGGCTCAAGCTGCTCAAGCTTGTCCTCTCGCAGGGGGATGCGTTGAGGCCACCTCGCTGCCGAGGTGGAACTTTCTGGGTGGTCATAAGAGGTGAGATTGAGACAGGAGGAGATTTGCTTCCTGCGTGTCCTCGTGGACTGGGATCCCTCTGTCTTGAACGCGCTGCCCCCCAAGGTGGAGATGAAGCCCCTCCGTGGTGCCCCTGGGCAGTGATTCAGCCATCTCAGCTCCATGCTGGACCACGGCCATCAGGGAAAGGCTTCGTGCTTGGAAAGGTGATGGACCAGTCACTGCTGTAGGTCATCCAAGGTCCATGTTGCCAGCAGGAAAGCCATGGTGCCCAAGTGGTTGCCCATGGGTTCAGGAGACCTGTGTTGAGGTGGATTCTCTGGCCCAGGGTCAACCAGTGGAGAAAGCAGCTATGTTCAACTTCAGCCCTGACCATCGGGGAGAGTGTTGAGGTTAGGAGAGGGTTAAGGTTAATGTGCATCTGGACTTCAGCGGCTCTTGACCTTTCTCTGCCCTCTGCTAACATACGATTGCACACGAAGGGCCGCATTTCCCAAGAGAAGCGTGGGAATATCCACCTAAGACAACTTGTTAGGGAAAAAGGAGCGATAATGTAATTGTTCGGAATTATCCCAAGTCCTGGACACCAGCCAGTCACGGGTAGTTTGTAATCCACGCCTGTTCACTAGAGCAACCTGGCCTAAAGAAATTGTCCTTTTGCCATACTCTAATTGCAAACCCAGTGGTGAGATTTTGCACTGCGTCAATAGAGGACCAAGAACTGTGTGTCCACGCTCAGGACGGAGGGGACCCATTGCCACCGTGTTGGGCGCTTCATCCCCTTCCTCAACTTCCAAAACACGCGTTGTGGATTCAGGCGTCCGATTTATTCATCAGAAAATACTAAATCTCCAGGGCTGGGACTGGGACATGCTGTTCCTGCAATGAGCTGCAAACCCTCTGATCATCACTTAGAGGACCGAGTCCAGCACGGAGCCATTTACTGGGGCCCTAAACCAGATGTTTTATATCACTATTAAGCACAAATGAAATGATCCTCTGTTCAGAGCAGGCTAGAAATCTTCAGCTAAAGACAAGGTCATTTCCCTTCCCTCAGCACAGAGGAGCCTATCTATTTGTTATAAGCACTTTTTTTCTGTTCAGCTTCAAAAAAATAGGTGTGGAATCAGCCAGACTTGTCTGGACGTGACGGCGATAGCTTCAAGAAACAAGCTTTGGGCTGAGGGATATTTATTTGTGGCTGGGTCAGAGGTTCTTGCTTTATTTCTGGCTCATTTGCTACTCCTTGCTGCCTCTAGCAAATCTGTCCTTTCGCCTCCTTCCCTCCAGTATGGGAATAAGATCAGATTCGGTTCCTGCTAATTAATTCCCATCCTTGCTTCATTTAGACCTGCTAATTGATGCCTCCAGTTGGTCCCACCAATGGGGACCTGACCACTTATCTCCGGTGGTAGCTTTTCACCGCTATCTGCAGGGATTTTCTTCTTGGATCCACTCCCTTTCCCTGTCTAGGGTGCTCCCTGTTCCACTAGCACATTAGGGAAGATGAAAAGCACACTAAAACGCTAAATTGGCAATTTCTGCCAATCTGGCAATAAAACTTTAAGAGATTTCAATTAAGCAACAGGTTTGAAGTTGGAGCAATATTGCTTAATAGGGCGGGAGTTCTCCTGGTGCTGCCGCTCTGGGGATGCCATAACCCACTTTCCCCCAACCTGTATCCGGGTTATGTGGATGGGGTGCAGCAAGGCTGATGGAAGCGGCTCCCTGTTTCCTGCGGGGATGTGCGTTCTCCCGCTGTCCTCCAAGAGGACCCGTGGCCACGTCTGGTGGCCGAGCAGGGGGGAATTTGATTGCAAAACCCTGTGATTACAAATGGCACAGTGCAGGGGAAGCAACAGGTCCCTGAGGCTGTGATTGCAATGAAGGCTGCAGGTAACAGACCTTGATGAGCCCCGTGGAGTGAGTGAGTTCATCGACTTGCTCGAGGGAGGCCAAATCTAGCCAAGTTCAGCCCCAGAGGATTTGTCTGTGCCTGCAAGAGAGAAAAAAACACAGGTTTGCCTGCAAAACTTGCTCAGGAACTATCCCAGTGGCAGCATTTCCACTGAAAAGAATGATGTGGTGGGCAGAGAAGCCCCCAGATTCCTGGCACCTCCACGCAGGTCCCAGCACTGTTACTCAGGCACGCAAGATGCTTTTCCACGTGGCCTCTGCGTTTCTCTTTTTTTTTTTTTTTTTTTTAACCCCAGAGGTGGATGGCAGGTAGGTCCTGCCCAAATATCCGTGTGGGGAATATCTGCCCTGTGTTGCAAATTGTAAGAACAAGGTATGGAGATAGAAACGGGCGGCACCAGGGCATCTATGTTGCACCTCAACGGGTTCTACTTCATAACCAGGAGCTTCACCGGGGAAATTTCCTTTGGAAAAGCAATATTTTGAGCTCTCCTGAAGCCTCTTTGCAAAGCCATCCCCACCAGACACAAGGCACTTTTCTCCAAAACAAGGAGAGCCCTTAGGCTATAGAGCAAGAAAACCTCCTTGGTGTTCAGTGCATTAAGAGGCTTTTCCTGCTCCTAAATATGAGCGACCCAGACAGCGATGGAGAAGGCAAGAGCATGAAGGAGACCACGCTGTCCATGCGTGCGTGTGCCGTGTGTTCAGGGTGCCAGGAAAATGGGCATTGCAACAGGGGTGGTGCTCGGAAGAGAGCGGATCCCATCGGAGACGGCGATGAATTATTCTCCCCTTTATCATGCAATGTGCAACATATGGGCCCCTTTCTCCTCTGTGGATGACTAAATGATGGCAGCTGGTGCTCTTATGTTGCAAGTGCCAAGCAAATGAGAAAAGATCCCCTTCAAACAGTGTTTTGCCATTGCTGCAAAAATGCACCTGATGCTTTCGCTCAAAGGTGCTGCTTTCCTAAATTCCCCAAACTATCCCATTTAGCGCCAGCTCTGCTTCTTGGAGGATGCAGAGATGGCCAGGAATTGCTTTATTTTTTCTTTCTTTTTAATCTTGCGGCTGTTTTGCTGCAGATGGGATCCTTCCATCACCATCTGCAGCCCTGCATATGCCGGGGATGTCGCCTGCTTTTCTGACGGTGTCCACGGAGCACAGGGCTGGCGCAGTCGCAGCCAGAGCAGCAACACACACTGCAGATTTTAGGAGTTCAACACGGCAGAGTTTGCAGCTCTTGGGGAACAGCCCATGGCACCCAAGGGAGATGCTGGAAGGGGCAGGAGCTCCTTGGGCAGACCCATACAGGCATGTGCAGGGTGCTATTTCTTTGCACATCTGCTCATCCAGAATTGGTTACTTTCTGCTTTTCAACATGATGGCGAAAGTTGGAGACCCAAGGGTGGGTTCACCACGGCATTGAGACCCTCCTCCCATCGCGCTGGAGCACGCAGGAGCTGAGGCTCTCTAGGGTATCCTGGGGCCTGTGCAATGAAAGGCTTTGACCTGTCTTCTTGTCGTGGCGATGGTGTGTGGCTCATCCTGGATGGGCCATCCTGGTCCATGTGCTGGCAATGAGTCGCTCCTCGAAATCCCTTCCCCAAGGAGCCCAGCCAGGATGTGAGACCTGCAAAAGAGCAGCTGAGACCAGATCCGGACGCTGCGGGAGACCCTACGTGGTACCAGCTGGCTTGGGTTTGCCACCACTGCGCTCATGTTCTGAACAACCGGTTCCTGGGAAGCTCTGGAGCTTTTGGGAAAGGCTCAAGGCATTTGGGTTGTGCAGTCAGCTTGCGATGCCCCGCACCCCTGCAGCAGCGAGCAGCCCGGACAAGGCTCTTGTGAACCTGCCTCGGCCTCCCGGGGCTCTTGTGAACCTGCCTTGGCCTCCTGGGGCTCTTGTGAACCTGTCCCGACCTCCTGGGGCTCTTGTGAACCTGCCTTGGCCTCCTGGGGAAAGCAGCACCGCGGAACCAGCCCGTTATCGGCAGCTGCAGCAAACCGAGGGAGGGAGCAAGGCGCCCCGGATTAGGGACATGGGAGTTGTTCATCATGAACCGCAGAGTGAAGCTGTTGTCTTGGCTTGGCTAAGAGGGACCAGGAGTTGGAGAGCTTGTCTAACCCTCCTGGGCAGGGGCGCCTTCACCAGGGCTTGGCAGTTGGGTCCTGTCCTCACTATGAGACGAGTTCTTGCAGCCTCCCGTCTTGTCTCACTGGCTGCAATTTGGGTCCATTATGAGTTCCTAGCCCTGAGTGATTCACAAGTGAAAGCCAAAGGGAGTTTGCCCAGTGCTGCAGCCTTGCGAGCTGGTGCACAAGGTGAGCACCTCTGCACAGGGTGCTTTGAGGGCCCTGTGGTCTTCAACGCGTGCTTTGAAGACCCATGAGTACGTGCCCATGGACATGTTCTCATGCCAGAAACCTGAAGCAGGGCTCTCCGTATAGCTCCTGGCACTGGAGTTTTGTCAAAACTATGCCAGTCCATGCCTGAAGTTTTCGTGGGGTGGTTATTCCTTCAACGTGCCTTCACTTTGGGTTGTCTCTTCCCTCCTTTTCCCACACAGAGACCCAGGCAGCCCAGCAGCAGCACCGCAGAGGTTGCACCTTGCAATTAGGTCCCAGGCTCACAGTCCATCACCATATGTTTATGTATTTATTTTAGAGTGAGATTAATGTTACCACATTTTTAAAGGGATGTTATTGTTCCGCCAACCTGCTGTGCCGTCGAGAATCGTTCTGTGTTTGGAGCAAAACACAGCAAATTGGATGTGGCTCTAAAACACGAAGGAGGAGGGGTTAGGGAATGAGACACGGTGCTATTTTCTGCTCTCTAGCAAAGTATTGCAGAGCATTTAACAAAGATGGAAAAGAAATGGGAAAGGCTGCCAGGCTGCAGACAGAAGGGAAACAGGTAACTTTTGGCTGGGGGGCCAGAAGGCGGCTTTTTTCCCTCCAGGATATTTTAGGCTCTGAATGAGATGGTTTCTGTGGTTGATTATCAGAGTTTTGCTTTTCTCATCTTTGTGTTTGCATTCCGAGGTGTTAAATAAAGTGGTAATAGCAGCAGAAGGGCTTGCATTGCATTAGCACCCAACACACCAGGTTATGAGCCAGGACTTCTCCGTGTGCACTGCCGCACAAGTGTTGGGGAGCAGAGCGGAGCGTCATCCTCATGGATGCCAGGAGGGCTGGTAACCTCCTGCGGCTCCGATCGCTGCGCTGGGGCTGCTCCTGAGCCAGGAAAGGACCACGATGGAATCTGCTCCCTCCTCAGAGCCTGCAGGGAGCTCCTGCTCTGCAGACCTGCTCCCACCACGGCACCTCTCTGCGCCAACCCGTTCTTCGTCCTTTCCCTTCATCTCCCGAGTCCCTGAAGGTTTAAATCAGGTGCATTTGTTCCCCCTGGCTAAAGCGGCAGAGGAGGGAACGTGGTGGTGTCACTCACGCTGTCACCCCATCTGCTCACGTAATGTCACCGGCGCTTTCTGCCCGGAGATCAGAACAGGCCGGGGCAGGATCTTCCTGACGGGGCTCCAAAGATGCCAGGGTGCAAGGAGGACCCGGAGGGGCAGCTGGAGGGCTGCGAGGTTCCTCCCTGCGCGGACTGGCCGTCCCGGGGCTCCCTAACGCGCTGCTCTGGCCTCTCTTGCAGCTGACGTACCTGCCTCCGCCGTGGGGTGAATGCCGCTCGTCGGAGATGGGCTTAGACTTCTTTCCCGTTTACAGCATCACGGCTTGCAGGATCGACTGCGAGACCCGGTATATCGTGGAGAACTGCAACTGCAAAATGGTTCACATGCCAGGTCAGTGCGCGGGGAGCCCAGCGGCCGCCTCGGCCGGGGGCATCAGCGGGTGACAGGCGGCTCGGGGGGCTTCGAGCAGAATAAGGTTTCTCTGTTAGCAGCCTCACGGCTGGCTCCAAGGCAGGGGATGAGCCCTTGCTCGGGGGTGGTTAAAGCTGCGGTCAGAGTAGGCTGAGACAGATGCGGAGTAAATTGCACTTGCTCCTGAATAAGGGTGCACGCAGGGAGCTTGCAAGCGTAGCGATTTCAGCAAGATTTTCCAATTAAACGCTCTCGATAGCCTCCGGGGCAGGACGGCAGCCAGCTGGACTGAAAGAGCCCTGATGCTTCTCGGCAGCAGAAGGCTGAGCCCGGGGGCCTCTGCGCTCGCGGGGCTGGATTTCTGCAGCAACGCCGAACTGGAGCCCTACGGATCCCACAGGAGACAGCAAGGAGGGATCAGGGATACGAGGAGCTGGGAATAACTCAATTTCCATCCCACAAAGAGGGACAGTACTTAATAACCTGAGCAAAGCGCTCTCAAAGAGCACCCGAGGCTGCACCTTGCCCAGCACCAGGTAGAAGGATGTGGGTCTGAGCCAGGGAGGAGCAGCAGCATGAACCTAGTGCTGCACAACCCTCATGGACCTCCTGCGCCTTGGCCCCAGCTTTGACGGGACTGCTTTGTGTAGGTGACCGCAGAGACTGTCCCTTGCGGTGTCCTGGTGGCCGGTCCCGCTGATGGATGTTCCCTTTCTGTGCAGGGGATGCTCCTTTCTGTACTCCGGAGCAGTATAAGGAGTGCGCAGAGCCAGCACTGGGTGAGTACTGGGAGGTGTCCCAAGGTGCTGGGGACCACGGGTCCATTTTGGAGAGGCTTCCAGCAACCCATCTCCTCCAGGCCAGCAAGACTGGGTTAACCCAGGGCAGCTACAGCCCAGGAGGGGGTGCTGAGATCCTGAATGTGGGTGGGATAGACCTGTCCTGGGTTTGGGTTTAGGACACCTAGAGGAATCACAGCCATGACAAAAAGGATCAACATGGGATGATCTACAGTGACAGCCTGTCCCCAGCCACTGCTGGTAGCAGTCCAGCCACCAGCAAAGGCCTCTCCAAACTCGTAGGAACGGCCCTGCAGTGAGGATAGAGATGAACAGCCTGGGACTGGGTTTTCTGCAGCTCTTGGCCTCTGCAGTCTGGCAGCTTGGCCCTTCTCTGGGCAGCAGGACCTTCCAGCTCTGCTGTGTGTCGGAGCAACTCCTTAGGATCTACCTGTGTTACCCTCTCTAGGTTTGCTTGCTGAAAAGGACAGCAATTACTGTATCTGCAGGACACCCTGTAACCTAACCAGGTACAACAAAGAGCTCTCCATGGTCAAGATCCCCAGCAAGACTTCAGCCAAGTACCTGGAGAAGAAGTTCAACAAGTCAGAAAAATATATCTCGTGAGTGTCGCAGAGAACAGGTTTTGTTTGCTCTGTGGGAGGGAAGGTGTCTTTAAGGTGTCACTGGCCTTAGCAGCAGTAGTTATTCCATGCTGAGAATCCTTTGGGCACCTGTTGGTATCTAGGGAGCAAGGCCCAGTGCTCAGACCCTGGGCAGAGATTCTGGGGAGAAGTTGTCCAGCTTGGGCTACCTAATGGTAGGTGGTGGCTGCCTAATGGCACCTTCTGGCCTTGGTCTCCAGGAGACCCAAATGCCTGTGGGTTGCTGAGGCCGCCACAAAGAGAGCAGGCAGGACAGGGAGAGGAGTAAAGGCCAACAAGTCCCTGTTTTTCCTGTCCCAAAGCTGTTGTCCTGTTTCTACAGAGAGAATATTCTTGTGCTGGACATATTTTTTGAGGCACTCAACTATGAGACGATTGAGCAGAAGAAAGCCTATGAAGTGGCGGCCTTACTTGGTAAGGAGAGACTGAATATCCGTGTGTCATCTTCCGCGTGCTTCAAATCCATCTCGCAGCACTCACAGGACTTATCCACATCTCCTGGTGTCTGTCCCATGTTGTGGCTCATGGTGGCTGTTTAGCAGGATCTGGGGGCTCTGTTGCCCTTCTCCATCTCTCTCCACTTCCTCTCTTTCCCAGTCTCCGTGGGACTTCAACTAATTCTTCCATGGCATCTTCTTCCTTCCCCCACCTTCCCTCCTTCCCTTTTCGGGAAGGTTTGCGGATTCCTGGGGTGACAGATTCCTGGGAAGCCGGTGACAGGTGGCTTCTTCCGATGCCGACACACACATTACAGCACCAGCACGTCCTCATTAGGATGCGGCACTGGCCGCATCGTCCCCGCTGGGACCCCGTCCCAGGGCGCGCGGAGCTGGACCGCGCCGGGTGGATGGATACGCGCGCGGAGCTGGACCGTGCCGGATGGATGGATGCGCGCGCGGAGCTGGACCGCGCCGGGTGGATGGATGCGCGCGCGGAGCTGGACCATGCCGGGTGGATGCACGCGCGCACGAGCGGAGCCGTCCCCTGCAGTCCGCGCTGGCGCTCAGGCTCACCGGGAATGCGTGGCCGACTCTTCCAGGCTCTGTTTTCATCCCATTCTCTCTCCTAGGTGACATTGGAGGCCAGATGGGACTATTTATCGGTGCTAGTATCCTCACTATACTAGAGCTCTTCGATTATATATATGAGGTAAGAGCCTCACTCCACCTGTCCAAGCCCTTTTCCGAAGGGGCTGCCTGCTCCGCAGCTCCAATCCCTTCCGGCTTGGCCAGTTCCAACATTTCTTTGCCCTCTGGTGTATTCCCCTGCACCTTGCACCAAAGGCATGGAAAAGCCAATGGGATGCTCATTTTGGAGAGGGATGCAGGGAGAAAATTCACCTTCCCCATCTCCAGCATAGTGCATCACCACCGCCCCGTGCCGCGTGGGGTTATGCCGGCCCAGTGCATTGCTGTGTGCTTTGCTCACTAAACAAAACCATCATTTTAGTACTCTCAATAAACCCTTTTTCTATGCTATCCTTGGGGTTAGCTCCCAGCAGTTGCATCCGTGCGTGTCCAAGCAGCTAAACTGGGTGGGTGCAGAAGGACTAGCGGCGACAAACTCGCTGGAGCGTCTCGAAAACCTCTTAAATGCCTCTTAAATCGGAGTCAGGATGTCACTTTTGCATTGCAAGGCGGCCGCTCGCCACCACAGTCCCTTCTGGGCAGCTATTAAGACTCGGTAGCATTATTCGGCAATAAAAGATATTGAAAATTGCAAGCATAAAGCTAATAACGGCTCCAGAGTGCAAACAAAACCTGTTCCTGGGTTTATAGCTTGGTGTGCATGCATGCGATATTTCATTAAAATCAACCATTCTGGGCTTTCTTAGGGTTCTTCCATAAGACACTAATAAACCATCTCTCCAAGTTCGGTTTGCTTTTCTTCCCCTCTCTGCTGTTTGACATCTGCTTACAGAACTTGGCAAATAGATTTTCCAGTGCCTGGTGGTTTTTTTCTTTTGGGACTTCTGGGATTTTTTCTTCTTCTTTTTGGGATGTCTTAGGAGCTGTTCTCCTTACAAAGACTCCATCCAGCTGTGCAGAGGGCATCTGCAGGGATACCTGGAATCCCGTGCTTAATCCGATCCTGGCCTGATCCTGGATATGATTTTTTTTCCCTAATTCCTTTAAAACAGACTTCATTTGGTCCCACTCCAGTGCCAAATGCCAGTCCAGGGCTGCGGGTCCTGTATCCCCAGCAAGCATTTCTGCCTCCTTGTCGGCATCAATACTGCTGTCTTAGCAACTGACCCAATTGCTAAAGTTTTCAGCTTGCTGCTTTTTTGTAATTTCCCCCCCAGTAGAACGTCTGCAAAAAAATCTGCTGCTTTCCAGTGTTTCCAGGATTTCCCTTGAAAGTGAAATATTCTTTTTTGGCAGCAGCAGCTGCTGAGGAAGTAACATGGCTTTGAAGGCAAACGCTGCTCAGGCAGCTGACATTTTTGCAGTGTATCCCCAAAGATATTAAAAAAAAAAAAGGAGGGAGTGGGTTGCTTTTACTACTATTATTATTTTTATTATTATTATTATGTTCGTGCGGAAAGATGGAATCCTGTGGGATTGTCCCGCTCTGTGCCTTGCCGACGGCCCCATAGACAGGGAAGGGCGCCCGGCTGTCCCTGCCCACTTTAGTTATTATTAGTAGTATTATTAATATTTTTTTACAGTTCTACTGCCTGACTTCATACCTGACGCTCTGTCTAAAGTAAACTTAGATCTAGTCTCACTGGATCACACAAATTTAAGGACTATCTGTTTTAAATTAAGCAAACACTATCATATGTTTTAAATATAAATGTTTCTCCCCCTCTTTTTTTTTCTTTTTAGCTTTGAAGAGCTTTTTTTTTCTTCTGACATGAAAAGCAATTTCACCTAGTAGTGCGTGGTGGCAAAATATATATATATTTATATATATATATGATATATACTCTGCCAAAACCGGAGAGGCGCCTTGGACTTGACTCGCGTTGTCCTTTCCTGTTGGGGTGGGGGGTTGTCTTCAAAATGCGAAGGCAGCGGCTCATTTTGCGAACTGTGCAAAACAAAAACCCACCAAAATGGGGAAAAAAAGAAAATAAAAAATGAAACCCACCATTTCATATACTGCCAAATGTATAAAGCACTTGCATGCCAACTCTTTTTATGGCAATCTATATTCCTATCTGTCTTTATAAGCTCTGTTCCTCTTTACAGTCTCTGATTTTCACTACCGAGAAGGAACTCGCGGGCCCAGCCATCCCCTGAAATCACCATTACTAACGTCGTAGGCTGATTAGAATAAAGAAACAAACAAAGTTGCAGCTCTCGGATTCTTCTTCCGTTCTTGTCCGTCGTGTCCATCTGTGATCATCCTAAGCTCAGCCGGGTCCCCCCAAGGTGAGCGTCCCCGGAAAGCGTGGGAATCCATCCATCCCGCAGCTTGGACAGCCCTTCTCCGGCGGGGTGGGCACGGAGCGGTTGGTTTTCTTTATTTTTTCTCTTGTTTTCCCCTTTTTTCTTTTTTTCTTTTTTGGTTTTCCTCCATTCGTTTATTCCGTGCTTCCTCCTCGTTCTCATGACTGATATTAAAGCTGGTCTTGTGGAAATGGCCGGGCTGTGTCATTCTGCGGTGCCCCAGAGCCAGCGCCCTTGCCCAGTGAGTTCGGTGGCCCCATGAGCCGCCCCGGGGCCCGTCCTCTCACCTCGGCTCCTCTGTCTCTTGTCCGCCCTGGTGTCACGCAGCGTCCTCGGTCAGGTCTCCATCTGCTCCGTCATGGAGCTCATTGCTCTGCTCTTCAGGCGCCCACCGAAGCTGGGCCAGCTCCATTTCTGCAGTTGTGGCCACCCTGCTCGTATGAGGCACCCGGAGCATCACAGGAGCCTTGTCGGAATGGCCCGGTTTTACCCCAGCAAAGAGAGAAAGCGACGTTCTGGAAGCTGCAAACCCTGCTGTGCTCGTAGCCTGGGCCAGAGGCAGCGTGCGTGAGTGCCCACGTGCTGGTGGCGTTTTGCTAGTGCCACTTAGGGAGGAAAAGCGTCGCTTGAATGGGCAGGTTGGCACCAGTGATCGCTCCTGGAGAGCGAAGCCTCAGAGGGACTTGCTGACAGGCCCGTTTTGTGCCATCAGGTTTTGTTATCACAGGGACCTGGACTGAGGCCGCGCGTGTCCAACACCCATGGGAGGCCGTGGCGAAAGGGCCTGTCACCTCCGCGGCCGCAGCGTGGGGAGCCGTCCAGCACCATCTCCCACCGGCAGCGCCCCCGTCACCCCGAGGCTGCTGGTCCCAGACCGGCCCGGATCGGTGCCGGCCTCATGGAACTGCCCGCCCCAAAGGCAGGGGCATCCCTGCAACCAACGTGGTGCTAAAATCTGGCGGTTGCATCTATGGTCGGGGGCAGAGCTGATGGCCTGGACCCCTGTCACCTGCTGGGTGTCTGCAGGGCGGGTGCCAAAGGGCAAAGAGCCCTTTTAGTCTTAGCTTGTCTTAGTGGACTGAGTCTGGCTTAGAGAGTCTAGGAGAGCTTGGGGGTCTCCAGGCGCCTTGTCCCAGAGCTGCGCGGGTGGCTCGGAGATGTGGGAAGCCACCCGCTCCCCAGAGAGAAATTCAAGTCATTTAGTCGAACAGAGGGAAGGGGAAGAGCTGGCTTCACGGGTCTGCAAATCCCTTTGCGGAAGGATTTCTAATAAAAGAGTTTTTAGTCCAGCAGATGAAGATTGAACAGGAGGTCAGAGCAGGAGTGGGAGGGAGATGCACCCAGGTAGGAAGCACCTGCCTGGGGCCATGGTGGGTCCCTCGTCCCTGAAGCCTTGACATCGGGATAGGGAAGCTCCTTTATCCGAGGAGCTCCCCGTGCCTGGGCAGTCTGTCCCGCAGAACGTGGGGTTTGAGCTCCCCGTGCTGGGGTCATCCCGTCCCCTAAAGAGCCCGAGCTGCTCTCAGTTCTTCACTGTTGGCAGCTCCCATCTCCTACCCCAGGAATGTGCACGCGGAGCGAGGCCGGGTCTGCGCCCCGGAGCCGCTTCCCGCTCGCAGCTCTCTGCATTTGATGTCTTTGGCTTTCAGGGTGGTTGAAAAGCCGTCTGTATTTCACTTGCTTATCGCGCTGAAAGCAGCAGGATCTCAAAGAGTGACAGGGAACAAATAATTGCCACTGGGTACAAACTGTTTCTCTGTCAAGGACCCAGTGTGGCCATTGATTAGAGCACGTCATGTCGACACTGGCTCTCTTATCTATCAGCCGTGAAGGCAAAATTCATACTTGGAGAAAGGGAACATTATGCCACGTCCTGGGGAGGGGGAGCTGAGGATATGCCTGTCCAGTTCGCTAATAAAGCTACTGTTAAAACGACAATTTTTAGGTGTGGATATGCTGCAAGTGCCAGAAGTGCTAGGACAGAGCCTGCCCTGGTGCTCTCACCCTCATCCCGATGCTCTTGCCCACATCCCTGCTCCTGACGTCCCGGTTATCGAGTGTTCAGATCCTGGGGTGCAGAAGCTCAAGGAGACGGGACAACCTTCCCAGGAAGGTGCAGCCTCCCATGGGGAGCTTGGGGGCTGCAGCACCCGGTCGCTCCGAGGAGCTGCTCCTAGGGGAGAGGAGCCCCCGGCTTCTGCGCGGTCCGTGCAGCGCGACGCTCCTCGTCACGCGAGACGCTCCACGTCACGTGAGACGCTCCTCGTCACGCAAGACTCTCCACGTCACGCGAGACTCTCCACGTCACGCAAGACGCTCCTCGTCACGCGAGACGCTCCTCGTCACACAAGATGCTCCATGTCACGCAAGATGCTCCACGTCACGCGAGACGCTCCTCGTCACGCAAGATGCTCCACGTCACGCAAGACGTGACCCCTCCACCTCGATCCCTTTACACCAGGGAGATGCCACCGCATCCGCAGGCTCTTCCCATTCGTGAGGACTCTGGATTTTTCCCTAGCTCTTCCATGCTCGCCGTGCCTTGCGCTCAACCCAGCAGCAAGCCTCCAGAAATCAGGAGACTGCCTTAAACAGTTACATTTCCTTACAAGAAATACATATTAGGTGGAGGATCTTTGTGGATTTTCTTTTTCCGGTGCCTCCCAGCTCCAGAGTGAGGAAGGTGACATTTGCTTCACAGTTTCGAGTGCTCTGCAAGAAGCCTGGAAACGTGCAAAGAAAACTGCTATT